CAGGGATATGGGTGTGCTGCTTTTTTCCAAAAATAAAATTGAGTCACCCAGCAGCGATTTTTCATTCTCCAAAAGTTCTCAGAAATACTAACCAATGACTCTAATGAAAGCCACAAACACCTTAAGTAAACGGATTTCGTAGTACAGACTTTTTAAATGGTCTCCAACAATTATTTTGTATTTTTATTTAAAACCCTTCCATTGCAAGTGGGATTTGCACCTTTAATTAGAAAGAGCTAACCTTTATGCAGCCCTTAACCTTTCTAGTCTTTACCATCTGTTTGTCTCCACTGGTCAACCACAACATGATCCTTAGACTTAACATTTCCAGTTGTCAGGGGGCCTGGGTGGCTCAGTCAGTTAAGCGTCTGCCTTCGGCTCAGTCATGATCCTGGTGTCCGGGGATTGAGGCGCAGTTGGGCTCCCTGCTCAGTGGGGAATCTGCTTCTCCCTCTCCCTCCCCGGCTTGTGGTCTCTCACTCTGACTCAAATAAATAAACAAAATCTTAAAAAAAAAAATTTCCAGTTGTCTATTGCAGATCTTATACATACACTCCCCCTCCTGATTAATAGGCTATTTCTTTGAACTCCTTTTTAGTGACCTGACCCCACTTCCACGATTTGTGGCATTCCCAAGGTCCCTGTGTAGTTTAAGCAAGCAGAATTTTGTTGCACCTTTATCTGAAGCAGGGGTTTTCTCTCATGTCTAAGGCTCCTAACACTTCACCCTTTTTTCCATCAAGTCCTTCCTGGTTTTCTACTGAATGTATATAGTCATTTTCCTGAAATTCTATTATATAACTTTATAACAGAGGATGGTAATAGAATGGGGAAGAGTCTGTTCACAAATACGGGGCTAAAGAGAGACAGAAAGGCCTAAATTCATACTTAACAAAGCAAAGATAGAAGCCTGACAGAAATAGCTATGATATAAGCCAGGATTTATTTAGATGTACCTCTGAGAGAGGCTGGGATTTGATGTGGTGCTCCGAGAGCCATTCCCCAGTTTTCTGTGCCCTTCTCCCCAACCCCCTCTCCTTCAATACTTTGTTGCGAAACAGAAGAAAACTTCTCGCTCTACAAAAGGGCTAAAGGGCAGTCTAACTCCGGCCTGAATCAATGCAAATGGATGGAAAAAAGGGAGGGTCAGAGGTGGGGAGAAGATAGGTAGGTAGGGATGGAGGGTGGGGCAGTCGGGTAATCTCAGAAACACAGATGTTAAGTCAGATCTGAAGAGGGGGTAGGAGAGGGTGAACGGCGTAACTTTTTCATCCCTTAGAATTCAGGGTTGTTTGCAGTAGTCCTCGAATTTCCTTAATCACCATGCACTTAATAGAGGGCACCATTAGTGGTGAAGGGGAAACCTCAATACACAGTCCAAGCAGGAATATTTCCAACATGGTAAAACTCCTCAGGCCACCAACACGATCTTCTTCCCACCTAAATTCCCTCTAGATGCAATGCTTACTCCTGCATACATACCCACATTCTGACACTGATGAATCGTGCTGATGCCCTTGTTTATCAACCCACTCATGCTCCCTTCTTCCCCTAATTTGCTAAAATGACTCCCCACTGACCCCCTCAACCGCTCAACACTGCTGCCCCTCCCCCACGCTGATCAACTAATCCAATTAATAATCCAACTAATCCTCTCACTTAGTGATTCTCCAGCATTAAGCAGCCCTCCAAACCCGCCGATGAGTCACCACACTTGGTAACGTATTTATATCGAACCCTCCATGATCCCCCACAAAGAACGCCTCCGATCCATTCCGTCCTTACACTAGCCCTCTCCAGGGTCCCCTCCTCTCTGCAACAAGCCCAGCCTGCGGCGATCCTCTCCCGCGTCGACTCCATTCCACTCTTCCTCACACAGACCTCCCCACCCTGACCCGCTCCCCTGCTGCCTCCGCTCCTCACGCAGGACTCCCTCTTCCTCCCGCAAATCCTCAAACCCCTCTCTTCTCTTGCTGACCCCCTCCGGTGTCTCTCCCCACACAGCTCCCGCTCACGAATGCCGCCCTCCGATGCGATTCCACACCAGCCTTCGCCCGCCCCCGCCTTACTCTCCCTACGCTGACATTGAGGCCTCTTCCCTGGGCCTCTTTCCGAAGCTGCCCCCACCCGGTACTAAACACGGTCCTCAGCACCACCAGAGCCCACTCTACCCAGCCCACCCCCTCAGATACCGCCCCCAGCCCCCAGCCACTCCCCCACCGCCCCCGGCCCTCGCTCACCCGCCTCCCTGCGCTCGCGCAGCCGAACCTGCAGTCAGCGACACCTGACAGCAGCCCAATCAAAGCGCGGCTTCTCTGCCGTGTCACCAATCAGCGGAGGGCGCGCACCGGCAACAGAGTCAGGCTGCGTTGGCCCGCACTTCTGCGTGGAGGAGGGTGGCCCCTAGCGGCTGCAGGGAGGGAGTGCAACCTGATGCTCCCCTTCCTCCGATTTCTGCGTTGGCACAGCCCAGATGCTTCGTTCAGACAGAGACTTTACAAGTGAGACCAAGAGCAGGGAAGAAGCAAGATGCAGAGGAAGAGGTACAATTTGTGCCATTGCATGTCCTTGAGAACAAAACCAGGTTTTCTGTTTGTTTTTTAAAACAAAAGGAGTGTGACATACTTAGCCAATAGATGTAGGTTGAAAATGTTAACAGTTGTAGAGGAGTAGACTGGAGACAAAAAGGGACAATGAGAAAAACAAATCAGAAAGTTAAGGGAAGGAACAAAGAGACTTATTTATGGAGGAGACAAGAAAAAGGATGGACATGGAAGACTGGGTAAGATGGTTCCCATCTCCACACTGGGCTTGTTCTTTACTCCTCCCCCAGCCTTGGAACCAGACAAACCTGGGTTTGAATCCTGGCCTTGCCTTTAAAAGCTGTGCAGCTTTGGACAAGTCACTGAACTTCCCTCAGCCTTCATTTCTCCGTCTGTAAGAGAGTGGTTTAAAAACCTAATCGGGGCGCCTAGGTGGCTCCATCGGTTAAACGTCTGCCAGGACCGTAGGATCGAGACCCTCATCGGGCTCCCCTGCTCTACAGGGAGCCTGCTTCCCTCTCCCTGTGCCTGCCACTCCCCCTGCTTGTGCGCGTGTGCTCTCTCTCTCTGTGAAATAAATAAATACAATATTAAAAAAAAACCCTAATCATAAGGTACTGATTATATGAAAGCATTTTTATTCTTTGTTTTTTTTAAGATTTTATTTATTTATTTGACAAAGAGAGACACGGGCGAGAGCGGGAACACAAGCGGGGGGGTGGGGGTGGGAGAGGGAGAAGCAGTCTTCCGGCGGAGCAGGGAGCCCGATGTGGGACTGGATCCCAGGACCCTGAAATCATAACCTGAGTCGAAGGCAGATGCTTAACGACTGACTCACCCAGGCGCCCCTGCATTTTTATTCTTATCTTTTCATTCTTACTTAGGTTTCCCTGGCCAAGACAATCCCAAGTTCCATGTGTTTCCTCTGCAACTTGGGGGATCCTACCACTTTTCAGTCAGGTGCCTCATTATACTGACCCCAAGGCATCCTGAATGAGATAGGGGTGATTCTAAGGACGGTCCCTAAGGGAAATAGAATCCTCCTTAGTTCTGCTCAGGCTCATGTTCTCTCCACTGCTCCAACCTTTCAAACAAGTTATTAAAACATCTTCTACTTAATTAACTTGTCTTCTCACCTCCCCCGCCCCCCGAAAAATGTAGGCTCAGTTCCTGGTCATCCATTGGAACAATCCAATTCAATGAAATGATACATACAAGAGTTCCTTATAATTGTAAAGTGCTTTATAAATGTTAAGTAGTATTGATATCATTATCATTAAAGAAATCAAATATATATATATATCAATTACTTTCTGTATGCGCTAGGATAATTTTTTAAAGTGAGCATTAATACATTATGTGGCTGTTAGAGGTTCACAGGGAATAAGAAAAGTACACAAATACATGTCTTTTCTCAGCGGAGCTAGTACTCAAATTTGGACAGCTAGTCTCCAAACTTGAGTGCTTTCTCTATTCCTCTGGGCAAGTCTTATTTTTCCTTCTGTAATTCTCTCTTCTTGTTTCCTACCTCTTTAATCTTAGTAACCACCCTCTCAATCAAATAACAACCCTACTGCTCTGAAAGATTATCTCCCTTCTTTATCTGAGTAAACATATACCATTCCAAGTAATTATATTTGCTTGCTTATAACTACTCCTTAAGCTAGACACTGAGCCCACAGGTAACATTTTCCATCTCTCCAAAAGTGACTCTAACTATAGTACTCTATTCTCTGATATTTGTTCTCTTACCAGAAGAAGGAATTAAGTGACAGACACAGAATAGAGGTGGATGCCTTCTGAGGATACCAACAAATGAGGAAGGGAGGAAAAAGAACACAGGAGAAGCTTGAGAGGAATAAAGGGAATCAGAGTATAGGGGTGGGGTCTCATCAGTGGAGCCAGAGGACAATGTGAAGGGAATTTCTCTTTCTCAAATAAGATTTCCAAGTATCTTACTATCTTGTGGGTACACCACCAAGATAGCTGAGAGAAGGGACTAACACCATCATACGAACCCCACCTTAACTGACTTTCCATACTGAAGCCCCACATCTCTATTTTGGCTCCAGCATTCATTCTCTTTCCTGCCGGGACAAAGGTCAAGTCACACCTAAGTCACACTTTGAACTGTGGGAACACACTCTCTCCAATCTGAATACACACCTTGTGAGGAGAGAGGACAGAGGACCAGTAGGAAGGCAGAGATTCCCTGGCAACCTTAGCCCTTGAACACCACTGCCCTTTACACTCTGTATTAAACAGCATTAGGGAACCAAGAGAAGCAACACCTGTGGTGGTTGGAGACCTGTGCCTGCCTGTCTCATTCCTACACGTCGTCATCTTACCACACCCTTCACCTCACCTTACACTCCCCTCCAGCCCAGGAACTGGAAACTACAAAGAGGGAAGAGAAGGGAGAGGAGAAAGAGGAACTAACGATTCCCTGCCCAGCCCCAGCTCCATACCCGGGGCAACCAACAGGTAGGCAAGCTTGCCGAGAATACTCAGAGGCAGTCCTGTGGGCAGCAAACATTTCTGAAGCTGGATAAAGCACGAAGAATTAAAAGTTCGAAGGTGAAGTAGAAGATGGGGAGGAGGGAAGGGGAAGGAAAGCTGGAGATCATGAGAAGTGGAGGCAGGACAGGGCTTCAGGCTTGGGGGCTGAGTGTGGGTAGGGAACACAATATAAATGGGGTAAGAGTTAATGTTTCTCGGGTTCCTCTCAGGGAATTCTTCCACAACCTTGTAAGAATAGCACAAGTGTGGCAGAAGGGCGGCTTTGTCCTCTTCCTGGTTCTAAGGAAAAGGTGACCTTGAGCCACCAGGCGTCTTTCCCACTATCTGCCTCTGCGTGCTTCCTTCCTGTCTTACTCTGGTATCTGTACTTATTCCGCGGTTTCTCCCCACGGCCGCCTCCCCTGAGAATATGAAGAGGTTGCCGGGGAAGGCCGAAAACTAGAGAAGAGGTTGTGCAATGTCACCCTTTGACACCCAGAGGGACGAATCGGGTTCCCGATGAAATGGAGAGGCTTGGGGGAAGGGTGTTTAGGCTTTCGCGGGTCCCCTCGGGTGCTGTCCTGTACTTGGTGCTGAAATCTGGGCGACCTCGTCTCAGGTGGGCCCGCGTCCCCAACCTAGAGTTGGGGAGCTCCGGTCCCCGAATCTACCTGGCTGTGCTTCCCTCCTCGGCCCCCGCACACCTAGCGCGGTCGCAGGCGGAAAGGCGGGGCCTGCATGAGCCCCACCCCTGGAGACTGCGGCTGGGGCCTCCCTCTCCTCCACCGACCGCCGCTCGCTCATTGCGCCTCTCCTGCAGTCTGGTTGGAACCCCCTGCCTCTCCCGCTCCAGCCTCCACTCCGGCCCCCATTTCGGCTCCAGCCTCGCACCCAGCTCCGGCCCTCAATCTTCCTGGTTGCATCCTCCCTCCCCGTTCCTGCCCTGCGCCAGCTCCAGCCTCGGGATTGAGTAGCCGGTCCCTCAAGCCATGGCTGGTCCCTTCTCTCGTCTGCTGTCCGCCCGCCCCGGTCTCAGGCTCCTGGCTTTGGCAGGAGCTGGGTCTCTAGCCGCTGGGTTTCTGCTCCGCCCGGAACCTGTAAGAGCTGCCAGTGAACGACGAAGGCTGTATCCCCCGAGGTATCAGTATCTGAGACGCAAGGGTGTGTGTGTGGTGGGGGGGTGAGGGGAGGTGGTGACGAGAACGAAGATGGGGATGGAGATGAGGACCCGGGCAACAGAGAAGGGTTATAATCACGAAGCCTCTGGAGTGGAGTGCTGTGCAATCTGGAGACCTCAGTGGGTTAGGAATTGAGGCCAAAACCGTGAGGCTAACGCATTCCTGGGGACCTGTAACGCGCAGTCCCCGCCCCCAAGACCCGTTCTGGCCCTGTGAGTTCTGGCTGCACCTACTCTGCCCAAATCCCTAACTGAGAGACCAGTAACTATCCTTTTCGCTTTCCTCCCTCTCCTTTCCTGCTGTTTCCCCCCATTTCCTGAATTCCCCTCTTTGGTCTTGCCCTTCCCCCATCCCTGATGCTGTGCTAATGGTAGGAAAGAACTGAGCAAATCTGGGGGAATTGAGCCGGTCGCTCAGAGGAAGCTAGAACTGTTGGGAAAGAATAGACCCTGAAAGTCCCCAACCTTGGTAATTCAAGGTTTAGGCTCCCTCTAATCTCCCCTCCTCCCAAGGAGCAAAGCCAGATATGGCTAACTGGATAGCTCCCAGCTGACTGCACTGGGTCTAGGCCCCCTGTGCCCTCCCTCCATGGTTACTGGGTACCCCCTCCCTAGCGCTGAGTACCCAGACCTCCGAAAGCACAACAACTGCATGGCCAGTCACCTGACCCCAGCAGTCTATGCCCGGCTCTGCGACAAGACCACACCCACTGGTTGGACGCTAGATCAGTGTATCCAGACTGGCGTGGACAACCCCGGCCACCCCTTCATCAAGACTGTGGGCATGGTAGCTGGAGATGAGGAGACCTATGAGGTAGGGGGCCCCCAGAGTCTCCCTGGTGACCCAACTCATCTTCCCAGTAATCCCAGCTCCTTCCCCCTACAGACCCTCACTTTCCCTTAAGGCTGGACCTTCCATACTCACGTTTTCTGACCCAGTGAAATCAATCCACAACTAAAGCCTGGAAAGGGATCTCCTCTCTTTAACCACCCTCTCCCTCTTAATTCCCCATCAGGTATTTGCTGAGCTGTTTGATCCCGTGATACAAGAGCGACACAATGGATATGACCCCCGAACAATGAGACATACCACTGACCTGGATGCCAGCAAGGTAGGTCAGATATTCCCCATCTGATTTGGATTGCCTTATGTACAACACTCTGTTTCTCTAATCTCTTCACCTTAATTATTTCCTGACTCGGAGTCATTAGACTGCTAAGCTTTTAGTGTTGGTGTTGGGGGAGGAATTATATCTTAAGAAGCAGCGGATATGGAGAGGAGAGGAGAGGGTGGATGAGGATGACCATACCCCAAAGTAGGCAGTTTGAGGGAGGGTTCATAATGCTCCCTTCAGTTGGAGTACTTGCCCATTGAACTTCTCCTTCCAATGAATGCAGTCGGGGTCCCTACAGTCCTTAAGGTCTCTCCTTCCCCCAAGGCCCTCAGTTCCCACCCGCTGTGTCTGTGACTTATATTAATTTCTCTTATTCCCTAGATCCGTTCTGGCTACTTTGATGAGAGGTATGTATTGTCCTCGAGAGTCAGAACTGGCCGAAGTATCCGCGGACTCAGTCTTCCTCCAGCCTGCACTCGGGCAGAGCGACGAGAAGTGGAACGTGTTGTAGTGGATGCACTGAGTGGGCTGAAGGGTGACCTGGCTGGACGTTACTATCGGCTGAGTGAGATGACAGAGGCTGAGCAGCAGCAGCTTATTGATGTGAGGGGCCTTGAGAGGGAGCAGGGCTGAGGAGCAGATGGAAAGAAGAGTCAGAGGGGAGGGTGGGCCAGATGAGACAGAGGCCCAGGGGCTACTGTGAGGATTCTTAAACTAAGTCCTTTTACTTGCCTCAGGATCACTTCCTATTTGATAAGCCTGTGTCCCCATTGCTGACTGCAGCGGGAATGGCTCGAGACTGGCCAGATGCTCGTGGGATCTGGTATGAGGCTTACCTTACCTCTTTTGCCCCCATGCTGTTGAGTGCCTTCTATTCCTCTGTCTCCTCCAGTTCTTGACCTGCCTCTTGATCCCTGTCTTTTCCTCTTTTCTGCTTTCAGGCACAACAATGAGAAGAGCTTCTTGATCTGGGTGAATGAGGAGGATCATACACGGGTCATCTCCATGGAGAAGGGCGGCAACATGAAGAGAGTGTTTGAAAGATTCTGCCGAGGCCTCAAAGAGGTTGGAGAAGAATGTATAAGGGAACTAGGTGGGAGGACATAAGGAAAAACCAAAGACTAGACTGTATCATTTATCAACCAACTCAGGACACTTTGGATGGCAAAGGGGATCACTTGTCATATATCAGGACTGTCCAGGGAAAACCAGGATAGACGGTCACCCAAGAATAGAGAGAAAGAACGTCATGAGCCTAAGGCAGTAAATAAAGCAGTTGCCAGATAAGACCAAGAAGGAATAACTGAGATAGTGGGTCAGTGCCCAGGATGTGTGGAGTGTGCAGATAAGGAAAAATTTGAGCCTGGATCGATGTAGGGAGTGAAAGATTGGTGTATTCGTGATTCCAATGTAACCACCCAGTTCTGAACCAAGGTAGGCCTTGGCTCTGGATTCTGTCATTCTTGCTAAAGTATCATGTCTAGGGTTTAAGCTGAGAGTAGGAGGGAGACTGGGAAAAATGGAAGATGGAATGGCTTAAGTTCCAGAATGTGTGGCTCTACAGAATTCTTCAATCTTATATGGATTATATGGATTAGGTCTCCATATTCTATTCTAGATTAGAAATCCCCATAAACCCGGTGCTTATTATATGTTCTCATATATACAATTCTATTTTGGACTTGTAAAGACAGAGAGCTCCTCCTCTTTTAGATTCTAGCTGGGAAGTTTTTATTGTTTTTGGCAAATAACAGATAACATATTCTGACTTTAAGTGGGTAGGGAAGTACTTTTTAAATGATAAGCCTCAGGTTTCTCCTCTGTAAAATTGGGATAGTAAAGCTTCCTACATTTTATGTTGTTGTGGGGATTAAATGAGACAATGCATGTAACATGCCTGGCCCATAATAAATGTTCAGTAAGTGTTAGCTCCTGTTATTGTTATTATTATTATTATTTTAAAAGATTTTATTTATTATTTGACAGAGAGAGACACAGCGAGCGAGGGAACAGAAGCAGGGGTTGTGGGAGAGGGAGAAGCAGGCTTCCCGCAGAGCAGGGAGCCCGATGCGGGGCTCAATCCCAGGACTCTGGGATCATAACCTAAGCCGAAGGTGGTGCTTAATGACTGAGCCACCCAGGCGCCCCCTGTTACTATTTTTTAATGGAAGGGTTTCCCCTTGTTCAGCCTATTAGATAACCGCCCCCCCATGCCATGGTTTTTTTTCTGAACTATGAATAGGGTCCCCTTTACTCATGTTAGGTAGTTTTCATGTCCATCACTCTGGCAGATCCCCGTCTCTTGAACTCTAATGGTCATCTCCATGATTAGGATGCTCAAGTGAAACAAAACACCCATCCCATACTCCCCTCTCCAACCCCTCTTGCACACCCATAAGTATGAGTCCGGTTCTTCTGGACTGTTTGCACCTTTCTCTCTGCCTTATCACATGTGCTTTTTCCACAGCTAACAGAAGGCTTTCTTGCCTCTTCCTGTTGCAAAGCCTACACCCTCATTTTATGTGTGAAAGAACCCTTCCAAACTCTAGGCTCATTAGCAAAGCAAAGATAATCCATGCATGCTGAGCTCATTGAATAATCATCCCTTTCTCAGTTCAGTTTACCACCTCCACTCATTTCCCGAGATCATCCCGAATGCATCATTCTCCCAAGTTTCTCTTCTTCCACACACAAGATATTTTGCTGTAATCTCACCATTATGGGCTTGCAACATCAAAATTACCTTGTATGCATGATAATAACAAACAACTTAAACACACACACATACACACACACACACAGCAATGTCATTCTTTCACAGCCCAAGTTTCTGGTTCTAGATATACTTTTAGAGTTCCTGTAGGTCTGGCTAAGGGAGGGTTCACATATCCCTGACTTTTCACTAACAGAGCCTTTATGGACTCAGGTGGAGCGGCTGATCCAGGAGCGTGGCTGGGAGTTCATGTGGAATGAGCGTTTGGGATACATCTTGACCTGTCCGTCTAACCTGGGCACTGGACTTCGGGCAGGAGTACACATCAAACTGCCCCTGCTAAGCAAAGTAAAGGAATTGTGGGGTTAGAGTGGGGTGTGAGTGAGGAAGGTGGCTGTGTGTGGATGGGAGGGTGGGAGCATTTTGGAAAGGAGCCAGACATATTATGGCTAGAAAATGTCAGGGGAAAGAGCTCTGAGCACGTTCAGGGTAAAACCAGTCTCTGCCCCCTATTGACCCTGCCCCCAACCCCTATCTCCTCCCCTCTAGGATAGCCGCTTCCCAAAGATCCTGGAGAACTTAAGGCTCCAAAAGCGTGGTACTGGAGGAGTGGACACAGCTGCCACAGGCAGTGTCTTTGACATCTCTAATTTGGACCGACTGGGCAAGTCAGAGGTGAGATCCTTAGGGATTAGGGTGAGGAGAGGCATAGGTCTCTGGGGGTTGAAATATGATGGTGAGTGGGCCCCAGGAATCTGAAATGAAATTCAGGTTGAGTGGGGAGGCAACTGGAAATGAGTTCCTTGAGCAGGCAAATCAGTGCTAAAGAAGGAAACTCGAGTTATGGGAAGCAGAGGTCAAGGGTTAGTGTCCTTCAGGTGGAGCTGGTGCAGCTGGTCATCGATGGAGTAAACTATTTGATTGATTGTGAACGGCGTCTGGAGAGAGGCCAGGATATCCGCATCCCTCCACCTCTTGTCCACAGTAAACATTAAATCCCCCTCCCCAGAAGATGACTCAAGATCCCTAGGAGTTCTGCTCATTCTAATGCGGCCCATTCTACTTGCCTTGGATGCCCCCAACTCCTTCTGTCCTAGTAAAGACTCCTTGCTATGCTCTAGCTGTCTGTGTCATTTCTAATGGTTGGGGTGAGGAGGGTCTAGCCTCCAGGAAAGGAAAAGAAGCAGTGGGGTTATTTATGATGGAAAGAAGACTCTAGATATGGCATGCCAGGAACACTGATTCTCAGGTGGGTGGAAAGCATTAGCATTTTACCCATATTCCTCATCGGCTTCCTGAGGATAATTAGAATGCATTTCCATTTGTACTTTATTAAAGTTTCTTTCCCAAGAGCTCTCTCTTTAACTGTAGAGACAGGTTCATAGCAGGTTGCCAAGGAAGCAGATGGTCAATGCCATGGCCCGGGAGGGTTGTGACCAGTCCCGAAGGCCCCAGGCTGTGCTCCGACCTATAATGAGACAGAGAATGGGAGGAATGTTACAACTCTGTTCCCCAGGAATTACTGATAGATGGAAACTATCTGCCTAGACCCCTTTATTCCAGGGATCTCCCTGAGTCAGAGAGCACCAAGTTCAGGGTCAGATTCTGGGTCAGGAGTTGGCGGGTCAGGCTGTGCAGTTGGGGAACTCACCCTGCTGTTCTGGGCTCTCCTTCCCCTCATGCTGGGCCCATGCCACAGCTCGTCGCTGCTCAGGACTCAGAAAGGCCATTTGTTCAGGAGTGACAGCCACAGCCTGAACACTTGTGAGACTAGATAGCTGGGAGGGGCTGAACACCACCTGGGGGCGGGGACAGGAATCAGTGCATCCATTGTAGCCCCCGTTGGGCCCTGGCTCTTCGTGGTCACCCCACGCCCCAGCCCATCAATACTTACAGCAAATTTAGGAGCAGGGATGACAGAAATAGCAAGAGGGGTAAGGCCCTGGATCTGTTTCTGCAGCAGTGCTGAAAGAGCCAGGTCTGGGATCCCCGCTGTCGAAGCAAGTGGGATGGGCATCCAAATGTTGTCTTCTACTGGCCTTCCCCCTTCTCTTCAAACCTATAGACCTTCTCCAACCTCTCCCAAAGTACCCCACCATACACCTTTCCCAACACATCTCCAACCTCTTACCTAAATACCTTCTCTGACTCCCACCCTAAGAATTCCAGAGCAGTCTTCCACCATGGTAAGGAAACCAAACCCTGACAGCTATTACCAGCAGTGGTCCAGCCTCCCTACCTGCTATTGTGCCAATTTCGGTGAAGATCTCCGGCCCCCAGTTACTGATGGGGCCAAAACCGCCAGGCCGCACAAGGAGCTGGGCCAGAACTTCCAGTTGCTCCTCAGAACACCGGAGATGCAGATTGCCCAGGAAGAGAGCTGCTTGGCTGTGGAAGAGTGGGGTGGAAGGGAGGAAGATTCAGCCACAGTGATAGGGCCCATGGTCGGGATGGGAGTATAGATGGCTTCAAGTGAGGTCCCTTACTCCATGGGACCACTCCTTCGTGAGCCTTCCAACCCCAGCGAGCACCTTTACATCAGCGCCACCACCCACACCCTTCCCTCCGCAGGTGACCTGAACTCCCAACTGCTGATATGTTGTAGCTCCTCTGGCCGAAGTCCACAGAGCGTATAACCCAGTGCAGTCAGGTGAAGGAAGTCCAGGTGGCTCACATGCCGGCCACTCTGCCGCAAGAAACTGGAGACCACAACCCGGAGCTGGGATGGGGATGGGGGGCACAGAATAAGGAGAGAAATCATGGGGAATTCATGGAAGAGGAAGTGATCAGGGAAGTGACAAGTGCTACTGGATTACATACTTGTATTATTAAGACCTGAAGATCCAATAGCCGTGGGGAAGGTTGAGAATCCAAAAAAGAGAAGGCCAGGGAAAACAGGCAGGAGGGAGTTTGACCTGTTCGGGGCCTCAAAGTGAATAAATCACAGAGTTCCTAATGCCATGAGTAGGGGGTATATAAAAATAGAAAGAATGGCCAGGCAGGGTGACAGGAAAAAAATTCCTTAGGCTTTAGGTGACCTGGAGGCCTGGACCTGTGGAATGGTTGTTTGGAAGGTAGTAGGAAAAGGGAAGGTGTTACCTGGATGGAGCTCCAGCCATCTATCTGCCCCAGGGTGCTCAGCACTCCCCAGTCCACTAGGATTAGCTCCTGTAGTTCCCGCTCTCCTAGACCTATTAAAAGCCGACCCAGCTGCAGGATCTGCTCAGGACGGAATCCCCGGGGAGGACCCCACAACTAGGAGAAAGAGAAGAACAGTGTGAATGGAAAAGCAATGGTCTAGGAGTCAGAATGCTGGGTCTTAGTCATGCTTCTGACCTTAGCTGTGTAACTGTAGGCAAATCACTTGCCTCTCTGGGTCTTGAGTTTCCTCAACTGTAAGATGAGGATGGTTTAAGGTTCCTCTGACTGAGGTGTTACTGAAAGATGCTAGAGTCTCAGTAGGGAAGATAGCAGACTCTAGTCCATGAGTTCTAAACTTTTATGTGCACCAGACTCACTGGGAATGCCTGTTAAAATGCAGATCCCTAGAGCCCTAAGAAGATTCTTCAGTGAGTCTAGCATGGGACCCTGGCATCAGCATTTTAAAAACCTGCTCCCTGGATAATTTCGATAAAAAGTAAAATTTGGTAACCCCTGCTTTCTTCCCTCTGTCCACTGTACTAGCTTCCTTTCCTCTAATACTCATCCCCTCTGCCTCCCTACTCAGGATCCAAACTCTCTAATTCTTTAATCTCCTGTTTCTCCCACCTCTTACCCAGCTATCCATTCCCTGTGTCCCATAATTGCACCCAACCAGCTTCCTCATGTTGGCCTCTCCATAACCTAACCTGTTTTGCCTTGCCCATTGCTGCCCGTAGTTCTTCAGGCCCAAGTCCTGGGTCTCCTGCAAATAATGCCAGGCAGTCCTCAAAGTCTGAGAGCTCCATCTCTGCAATCTGGGTTGCTGACCAGGCTGCTGGGAATGTCCCCCGTACATCTGCACAATTTGGCACAGGTTCTGAAGGGGTAAGGCAGGCACAGGGGGTCAGTGTAGAACTAAACTATGCCCAGAGAAATATCTATAGAAGGAATGACCCCCTCCAACCTTTGGATAGGGCAGTGTGCACACGATGGACCAAAGGATTACTCTAGTGTGAGAATTATAGGACTCAAAGGATGTTAGAACAAGTAAGTGACTAGAGAGGACAAGCCCCTCATTGTATAAATGGAAGACTGAGGGAGGTTGCCTAGGTATTTAATGGCAAGGTGTAGATCAGAACCCAGGTCTCTGGGCCCACAGGGTCTCCCTCCTACATCCTAAGCATCTTCCCAGCAGACAGCTCTATATTCTAACATAGAGCCAAGCCTAGAAGCTGGGTCACTGTTAACAGGGATAAGAGAATAGAAAAAGGGAAGTCCTGGGCTAAAAATGCAATGGATTCTAAATTTCTAGGGCAATAGAACCCTAGAACTAGAAAAGACCTTGTAGATCATTCCTCTAACCACTTTGGTTTATAGATTAGAAAACCCAAGCCCAGAGAACAGAAAGTGTGTAAATCTACTTAAAGGGCACAGCATCCCTAGAGCCTAAATTTATGACTACATTGCTGGATATTCCGTCCTATACACCCCAATAGACATGAATATTTGGGTAGTTTCACCTGGGAGATCTTCTGCAGTAGGCCGTACAATCCCAGCTACCAAGGCTGCTTTCTTGGGAGCAAGCTGTGGCCTCCCACATAGCTGTCCAACTCTGCTCTGCTCCCAGCTCTGCTGTTTCTCTAGGAGCCGCTCCAGGGTCTCTGGGCCCAAGGCTTCCTGTGTGAAAAGGTAGATGGAGGGTGCAGAGACCTAGGAAGGTCAGGGCCAGCTGCTGCAGCTGTAATTCCAAAGTCCTGTCTCTTTTTAGCAGTTTCCCCCAGATTCAGGTTTCACATCCCTTGCCCTCAGCCTCCTTGGCCTTAGCTCCCCAGAACCAGCTCACCAGTCCCCTCTCTGCTCTTCCTCCCTCCCTTGTTCCTTCACCTCACCCTGGGGATCAAGGAAATAGCTTCAGTAGACAGAGTGAGTACTAGGCGTCCAGCTTGTTCTACTTCACCCTGGCTCCACAACTCCGGCTTCCTGGGGGACAGGAAGAAGATCAGGGGCTGGGATGCTGAGAGAACTGTGAGGGAGAGGAAGGGGAAAAGAGGACATGCAAGGACTGGGGACTCAGGGCTCCAAGGAACCTTGAGTATATTGAGTGAGCTGCCACTGATGATAGTGGTTAAGAGGGTGGGTGTAGGATGAGTTAGAATTGGAAGTTCCCGAAGTTTCATACCCAAGAACAGGCTCCTGCAACAGGAGCCATCCCAGCTCTGTGGCAAATGGCTCTCCTAGGCAGAAGCCCTGCAGCTGATTGAGATGGGCCAGCAGGATCGGTAGGGGGATCCGTCGTGTACTCTCCATCCCCAGGAATCCAACCAAGGGGCCCAGTGTCTCCAGCACTTCCCTTGAGACTGTTGTCTCCTTTGGAGCCTGAAGAGGGGCATCAGGCCTTGGGACAATGCATCTCTGACTCAGAGGACCAGACTCTTTGATCAAGACCCCAAAACCTTTGATTTTTCTCTCCATCCAGCTCCCAATGGCAAAACAATGGCAGTGTTTACTTTCTTAAATAAGGAGCCCAGGTAGGAGGAGGCTGAAAGGCTAGGAGATGGAATCCAAGGGATTTTTGGGACTCCCATGAATGTGGACAAGAAATAGGAAGCAGGTTCTCAAGGAATGGAACCTAGAGGTAGATCTAGGGGCTAGGGTCTTGTGGACAAGAACCTTTTGTTTGACATCAAAAGTGTGGGGCTGGGCCTAGAAGACAGAGAGCATTGTCTGAGAGGTGAATATTATCCAGGCAGCAGTTCTGAGTCTGGTAGGTTGGACTCTTACCAAGTTTTGTAGTGCCCTCTCTGCCAGGGCTACCCGGTGGAGGGGGGTCAGTGTCTGCAGTTGCTCTGGAGCTCCTCGTACCAGCTCCACCACCAACATAATAGAGTCATTGGACAGTCTATCCATCAACTGGACCCTACAGCAGTTTGACAACAGGGGCCCTCAGAAATGAGCCCTGTTGAAATGGGACCACAGATT